AATTTAAATAAAAAATTAACAGCAGTTCTATATGTTCATTTATATTAATTTTAAAAAATTAATGTACTTTAAATGTTCAATTATTTACTAATTTTAAAAATTTGTTTACATACTTTTACTATAATATGATAGTATACATCAAATAATGTATTCCATATCAAAAACTTGATAGTTATTCTTTTTTTATAATATTCTTTTAAATAATTTAAATTTTTATAATGACCATAAATCTGGAATCATATATTCATATTTAATTAAGTTGAACAAGATCCATCAATCCATTTTTTTTATCAATAAATATTCAGTTTTCAATAATATTGATAAATCTATTGGTGTAACAATTAATTCTCTTTTTTTCACTAAGTTAATTCAAAATTAAGAGAAGAGATGATGAACAATTTGAATACTAATCAATGATATTGTGGTGAAAGGAAGTAATTTATAGGATATATAAGATTTCACTAATTGTGATTTAAAAATATTTTACTTTATTTTTATGTAATAATTTGGTAGAAAGCAGATATCATTAAGATAAGATTAGTTATTTTAAAATTAAAGATAATTTTTAAAAATAGAATATAATCATTGTAATAATTTGGTAGAAAGCAGATATCATTAAGATAAGATTAGTTATTTTTTAAAGTTACTTAAAATTAGAAATAATTTTTAAACACATAATATAATTCAAATAGGATTCAGTGTTAATTTGCAAAAGACAGGCATCGATCAATCCATGTGATCTGAGCCTTCCTTATTGTAAACATTCTCCTAGTCTCCAATAAAATAAAAAAGCTTTCATTCACATTCGCTTCCAAGCCCCACGCTCATCAAATTCCTAAACTCAAGACTATTCAAGAACTTTAATTACAAGTAAGTTCAAAAACCCTCTCTTCATTTTCTTTCAACACGCCTGATTTCAATTATTTATTTCTTTCTTAATTTTCTGTCCATGCCTGGGCTGGTTCTGGTATCAGAGCCTGGTCAGAAATTGTTTTAATTACAGTTACTATTTATGCTATATTCTGACTATTTTCTATGCTGTGTTGGTAAGCCATTGAGACTTAGTGAGACCGTTGGTAAGCCTAGAGAGTTGGTGTTCCCGGCATAAGACTCTGGTGTTCCCATAGGATAGATGAATAGAAGAAATTAGCAAATATGGCAGCTAAATTAAAGCGATGGATGACTAGATCTGATTCAAAGAATTCAGACTTGGTATTAAGTAATGAAGTTAAGATGGAAATAGATAGTTCAAATTGGACTATACCTGAACAGAAAATTGAAGAAATTTACAAAGTAGGATTATTTGATTTCAAAGTAGCAATGACTATAAAAATACACGAGGAAACTCGATCTGTAAACGAACAATTTCAAACTATACATTTATTGAATGACCAATCATTACAAAAATATATTAATAATGGATATAGATATATTCACATAGGTTTGGTACAAGTAGCCGTAAAACCCTTAGTTCATATGGGGGTGGATGCCCCAATCTTCATGGCATTAAGAGATAAAAGACTCAAAAGATATAAAAGCTCTTTATTAGCATTAATTCAAACTAACACATGTAATGGTCCTATTTATTTTAATTGTGCACCTAACTATTCATTAGACATGACAGACCCATTTAATAATGGATTCATTAGTCCTAGATATTCACTTACAAGGGAACGAATTTCATAAAAATTGTAAAAATTTTGCTATAATCTATAAAGTATATTTTAAACTATTATCCTCTCAAATTTCACCAAAATATATAATGGTACCTAGTTCAAAAGATGAAACAGTTTTATTAGAACTACAAGCAGAAAAATCTAATGTATTTGCTCCTAAAAAATTAAAATGGAATGAAATAACTATTCCACAAGAATTTCAAATAACTAATCCACAAATTCCTTGAAATATAGAACAAACTGAAGTAGGATTCAGTGTTAATTCTTTTCAATTAGGCATGTCACGTAAGAGTGAAAAATACTATGATTAAAATAGCTACTTTCATATATATATATATATATATATATATATATATATATATATATATATATATTAGTGTTATATATTAACAAATTCAAATTCATAAGTCATTTAGGGCTGTACTGTTTTTGTTAAAAAAGTACTTTTGAAGGATAAAAGCACTTTTAATGTGTTCAGTGAATATCATTCCTTGAATTTAGGAATAGAGTTTTTGATCATTAAAACAATTTTGTTTTAAGTTCAAAATTGGTGCTTCTAAACTAATTTTTGCATTTCAAAAAATAAAACATTAACTTCAACAATTTTATTATGAATTTTGAACTAAATGAAGAGATAAATATATATTCAAAATTCAAAATTGTGCATTATCAAATAGAAAAAGTAATTATGCAAGTATACACCCAAATAATATGATTAAGCACTTAATAAGTATTTTGACCAAAACCCCTACTAATTGAAGTGCTTTGTGATAAACCACCACAACCTGAAATGGGCCAAAAGTTATATTATTTTCTTCAAAATGAAAAGCCTGATTTTTTTTTTCTAATTATCAAATGGTCAACTACTTTCTATTTTGTCAAGTACTTCTTGTTTTCACTTTCATCGAATTACTTTTCCTCCTTTATCTTCTAATGATTTTTCTAATATTAGAGGTGTCAAAATGGGTGGCTTTGGCGGATTTAGATTAGTTAAAATAGGTGAGTCAACCCATTTATACTCATTTAATTAGATGGCATAAATGGATAAGTTAAAAAATGAATTGGGTAATCCAATTACCCATTTATAACCCATTTATTTTAACTTTTTGTAAACACATTTAAATTCATTTTTGCAAACTAAGTTATCAATTTATACCACCCTTTGCACTTATCATTAGTTTTAAATATTTACTTATAATGCTCAATAAACCTAATTACCAATTTTTTCCCATCTGTATTCTATGTCGTAAAATTACATACTATTTAATAATTGGACAAGAAGAATATAAAAATTTGAACTAAATACTATAAAAGTTAACATATAAACTTAATCCAAAAATTTTGAACCCCTAGTATTTTTTTTCATGTGTAAATTTAAAATTTCATTTTAGAAAGGTAGGAAAAGAAGTTAAAACTTTTCATAAATTAGTAATGCTGAAAAATGAAGAATAAATAAAATGATAAGATAAAACCAATAAATAATAGTAATATTGAAACAAAAGTAGTTAACATCATGACAAAATGAAAAATTTGAAAAAAAAAATGGGTGGAGGGAAGAGAGGATGCTTGGGAAAAGATAATTCTAAATGAGTTAATTGGGTTTGATGAGTTACTCAGCAATACCCATTTATTAAATATGTATTATTGGATAACCCATTTACACTCGTATGCAAAAATTTAAGATATCCATACCTACCTATTCATGAATGAGTATGGATAAATTTAGTTAAATGGATTTGTTTGCCATCCATATTTTATATTGTACTCGTAGTTTACTCCAATTTTGTTTTTGGCTAAAATTAAAGGACCATGTATCTCGACTGTTGTCAGTATCGTCTTCTAGAATGAAAGATTAAGCTTAAGTAAGAAAAGCAAAAAAAAAAAAGGATAGATCAAAGAGAGCTCTTTAAGTTCCTTTTGAGGAATCTATATTGAAAATTGATCTTATGAAATAATTAAGCTCTTGAATATCAATATGCATCAATAAAATAGGTGAAGCAATTCTAAGCATGGGAAACCCTTAGAAGCCAACTCGTTGGTTCATATTAAGTTGTTTTTTTTTTTTCTCATCTACCCATATCCTTGTGTAGTAGGTGGAATTTATATATCCTGAGTTCACAGATGTTATGATCAACATAAGTTAAACAATATAAAAAAGATTCCGAATGAATAAAATATTACTTCTGCTATGTTATTAGTTAAATTCAAGGGATAATATCAGAAATCTCGCCTTAGCTTCTCTTAATATTTCTTTGCACCCTTGAGGTTTCCAAAAGTTATCTCTTAATCGTATTTCTTTTCGATATCTTTCTTTCTATTTTTTTTTAATAATGTAAATCAAGTGATTTTAGTGATTTTCTTGCTAGACTACTTCTATTGTATTCCCCAATAACTTGTTTTTTCTCACTCTTTTTTCAAAGAAAATATTTCAAATATATAAGTAATGAATTGTATTAGGAGAATGTAAAATAAATTTACCACTCTTGAAGTTTAACTATTTATATTAGAACGCTAACAGGCTTTTCCAAATCAATCGTGATAAGCCTATAGGCTTTTCCTTTCTTTTCTTCTTCTTTCCTCGTACTAAAGCTCACAGCAGCAGAAGCAACGATAAATTCTACGGACGGTGCCATTGTCGGGCACCGCGAGCCACCTCTTCCGTTGATCAAAATTCACCAAAATTATACCCCTTTGAGGAGATAATAATAAGAGTGAAGGAAGACAAAGATAACGTTCAAAAGTAAAGTCAAATCTTCAATTTTTGTTTCTATCCCTTTATCCTTTTTCTTCTTCTTTTTTATTTTCCTTTTTTTTTTTTGCTGTTCTTGATTTTTTGATTTTGATTTTTCATTTTTTTCTGGACTTGGGCCTGTTCTTGGAGAACAAAAATAAATTGGTCTGGGCTTTTAACCATCAATAGTAAAACGAATAAATGGGCCAATTTCTGTTCAAGGGATGAGGTTGGTACTGTTAGATTTAGATGCGGTTCGTATGATTATTGTATTTTTTTTTTATAATTTGATGTACATTAACATAATTTTGTTATATTTCTTGACGTATAACAAAAATCATATAACTATATACCAAATTATGAAATACAATAAAATTATATAAATATATATATCAAATCATGAAAGAAGTACAATAACTCTACAAAACGCATCTAAACCTAATTATACCCGCCCCAAACACAAATGTTCATATCTAAACTTTGAATATGAACTTTGCATTCTTATTCTCACTTTTGTTACATTACAAATTTCGTCTTCTTAATACTGATAAAATTTTGATTATTACAAACATAAACTTAAAGGCAATGGTAATTAGCACCTTTAAAATGATTGTTCCTAAGCTATTAAAGACAAAACATGACTAGCAAATGAAGGGATCGAAGTCATGGAATCTCCTTTCTGCCTCTCGCATTCCTAAACACATTCCAACCCAGGGGTTGGCCAGAGCTGGAACATCTAAGCATTACTACGTTAAGAAAAGAAATAGGCTATGAGAACTATGAAGCAACAAAAAAAGGAATAGGCATTGATGAAAGATGATATGCAGCCCCAGAATCCTCCCTCATCCTGATACAGATCATCAACCCATGACAATGCATCCTTCTGGTACTCTCTCTCGCTGGAAATAAATGCAGCGGTATTTTCCTTCTCAGCTAATGCAATATGAGATAGAATGTGAGGGAAAACCTTCTTAGATGAATCTTCTCCAATCAAAAGATCCGAGTGTCCAAAGCCATCTATCACCACTCTTTTATGTCTGAATCCAGGCTGGTGCAATTTCATGTACTTATTAGCTAAGAAAGATGTTTGAGGAGTTACAAGGAGCGTGCGTCCTCCGGATATATATAATGTTGGGAGCCCCATTCTCTCAGGATGGATCAAATACGTGTTTCTTCCTTCTGTATCTACTATAAACCCGGCATTACAAATCTTCTGGAGATGGGAAAATGCCCCCATGTTAAGCCTTGGTAAGTATTCTTTGTTCATCCAATGATGTACTTTGTGGCTTACGTTTTGGTGCCAAAATGCGTTACCAAATATGCCTGAGAGGACCTCGCATTCATCATAGGTGCATCTTTCGTAGCGTGGCATGGCACGAGCTATAGCCTTTAGGAGTTTCTGGCGAGAGCTGGCTTTTAATGTTTGGAACAAAGGAAGGGACTTGTCTTTTCCAAGTATTGCCATTGATATCTTCAGGTTGGTTGAAGTCACAAGAAGAAAGCCACTAGCATAAGCAAAATGGTAGGAGATATACAATACTATATAAATTACACATTTAAGGATAATCATTAGTTGAGCACAATTTATCCTAGAGGTCTATCGTTTAAGTGAATTTGGACAGCAGTACTCACGTAGAGAAGCAACAGGGCTTGATTTCATTCAATTTTTTAGATTAGCAAAACTGTTCTGATCAAATTCTGTCCACACTTTCTCCCCACATTCAATATGCACAAGGGCAAAATATCTAGCCACCATGGTACTTACTGGTATGAGAGGAAGCCATAATTTGAATTTCGACCAAGCAGTCAGCTTAAAAAACATGGAAGAGTTGGTGCAGGAAAGGGAAGCTATTCTTTTGTAGAAAACATGTCCCCCCATAAGGGCAATATGTATTGCAAGACCGCCAACGCAATGTCCAACAACATGTATCTTTACAGACTCCCCGTGCAACTCAGAGATCTTGTTGATTGCTGCAGAAAAGACAATGTGAATTAAAAAATTTCACACAAGAAAAAGTCGACTAAGTAAATCAGATATAGATTTTTTTTTATGTACTATGCCTAAAAAAAGGAACGTTATCTTTTGCACTACCAGCAGGAATATCAAACATTCCAATAGCTTCTACTGTCATATTAATTGAAGAATTAGTCCCAAGCAGTCTTGTTTGCAGTAGCCAGGTCTCATGCCCTTGGTGTAGTAAGCTTCTAACTAGATCATTACTTTCACTTGGCAAGCAATAACTTTCAGTTGCATAACCATTAATTAGGAGAACAGGTAATGGCTTATTCCCTTCTTCTTGCCTCTGTGGTCCTTGATTGCACTTCCACTGTTGGCAGCTGATTATAATGCCATCTTCTGTTGAATTTACAAGCCAACATGAAAGTGAGAATTATTTGAAACAAAATCAGAAACGATAGATACAATCTAAGATATGTTTTCTTGGATTTTGAATTCCTTTATTTCCTATCTTAACTCTCAATATATACTTTTGATCATACAGTTGATAGCATTTTCCAAACAGCATGAGCTTGACAACCATGCCTAATCATTTGAAGGAAATATTTAGCCTAAAGTATATGTGCAACATGATCATTATTGGAGCAGTATCTAACTATTACTTTTTCCTTGTGACTCATAAGGAATGTGTTTGGGACAGGATTGAATTGGATCTATCAGGTCTTATACCATTTACGAACTAAAAGAACTACAGTAGCTTATTGGATTTATGACAACGAGTACCTGTTCTTATCTCATGGAGTGTGCTTCTAGGATAATTATTTTGGTACGGATCCAAAGGAGTGAACCCCTTTTGACTTGCTCTAGGTACTTGTGAGATATATGTCCTGAAAAGAGACTGTAGCAGGATATGCAAAAATTTCATTTTTCCACTTCCAGACATACTGAATAGACTCTTCAAGAGCTCTATCATTGAAATATGAAGTTTCCCTTTTAAGCTTATCATGACTTCCTTTGAAGTATGCTGAGAGATTTTTCTTAATACTACGTGAAGTGTTGTTGAGTCTTTCCACGCATCAAGGCCCAAGAGAAAAGGGTTCATCACTTTCTTCCCTTCGAGTATATATCTGCATTAAGTAAAATTTATCAATATCATTTAATGCAACAAGAAAAACGAGAGAAATAGTATTTAAAAAAAAAAAAACCAACCTTGAACCAGAGGATGCTGCAAGGAGGAGACGATAGTGCATGTATTGAGTATAAGGAGTTTTAATATCTACATGGCACAAATCTACCTGGCCATCTATCACGTACAATTTGTCCATTTCTATGGCACAACACATGACATGGCCGCTAACTTTTCCTTGTAGGATAGGATTAGGCTCTCTAAAGTCTCCCATAGTTTTTTCAGAAGTTGTTCTTACGTTCAATTTCAATTTCAGGTAAGCAGCACAGGGCAAACCACCTACATGCCCACGCATGGTTTCTTTAAAAAGTACTGCCGTTCCCTGGCTATTCTCTGACTTCCAAGAACGGACTAAACTTTTCTTCTCAACAGGTTTTCCTCTTACAAAGTCTACATCTTTGCTTTTGTAGTCAAGAGCATCCTGCAGGAGGTGCTTGCTTACATGCTCAGCAGCTGTAGCAATGGTGAGACATGGGTTTATGCCAACCGAGCAAGGTATTAAGGAGCCATCACAAACGTACAGCCCGGGGTACACTGTTGTCAGATTTAATGTGTCAAAAACTTGACCATTGCTGTTGCAAACACCAGATGAAGCATCCGATGAAGAGCAACATCCTCCAAGTAGGTGAACGGATGTGCTTCTATACCTTGACATGAAGAGAATTCCACCCAACTTCTTCGTTATTCTCTGCAACGCTTCAATTTTTCTCGCTAATAAAGGGTCACTTGGTGGTTGAAAGCAAATCTCATTAGCGTCCTTCCGAAATGTAAGTTTCCCATCACCATTATCGTACCCAATTACGTTGAGAACCATGTCTTGGCTGGGTTGACCGAAAAGATGCTTCACCTTGTGCACTATGCTATCTAAAATACTATAGCCAATTGGCCATCCATATGTTGTAATCCCTTTAAAAAGTAGCCAGGGAAAAGCAATGGGAATTACAGCACTCTGCAATATAGGAGAAAGTTAGTCTTGTCAACTTCTACTCCAATCTGCAAGTAGGTATGTCTCTTAATTCCTCAAGATTCACATTTTCATGGTCTATGACTGTACAATCTTGTGATAAAAATTTGTGAGAGATACATAATCCTCTAACTAACATAAAAGAAGCAATCATTTAGCAACATAGTATCATGCTTAAGGACTAGGCTGATCAAGCTAAAGAAGTCTAAACTATAAGGCTAGCATTAGAAAGTAAGTTGATTGGAATAGTGGAAAATCACCTTGGCTAAAAAATTCATAGTATCCTAAAAATGGGACTCCTTAGATCGACAAATGGGACTCTTTAACTCATGATCCATTTCCACCTGGCAACCTGAATTACAATTTTGGACATTGTATCCTAAACTTTGTCTTGACTCCATTTTTTGTTAACGGTATTAAGAAAATGAAGTGAATTTTTGAACGTGCAAATTACACATTTGTTTAGTCAGCAAGTCAAATCTCACTTTGCCACCCCAACTCAGGACCAAATTACACATTTTTCAATCAACACGTCTAATCTCCCTTTGCACCCACCTAACCCAAGACCATTTTTTGTTTTGCATCAGTAAACTCTAGTATTTGGACACATCAAACTTTCAACTTCGGTTTTATCTAGTATTTCATTTACTAATAAATAGCTCATAAAGCAAAACCATGCCCTATTCCTAAATTTGATTGTACCTTGGTTTCTTGTGTTTTTTTATTTAACATTTTCATAATTGTAAAAACATAAAAGTTACAAAAATAATTTTATTACTTTGATCGAGGCACAGTATGTCCTAGACTAAGCAAAAACTATGGTGCAATGTGTCCACATATTGAAACTCCATAATTTTCTCGATGCAATTGAAGGAAGCATGGTAGTGGAAGGAATATGAAAGACCACGGAGCAATATGTTCAAAACTTAAAATTTAAGGTGTAAAGTGAGAATCAGTAATAAGTTATGGGATGCAACATAGAACTAGTCCTAGACAAATGGCTGCTTATAACATACAAGTAAAAGAAGACAAGGATGTAAACCTGAATTGTGAAACCCAATGACGAAATATATGATGAAGTAATGGATGGCCCTGGACGTTCTTCAAAAGGTACCTCTGATAGCTTCTTTCTGTCCAAGCCACAAGCATTTAAGGGAGCTCTACTTCGTGAAAGATAAGCAACATTATTACCATTGCAGCTCAATCCACAGCCCAGCTTCTTGGAAAGGATCAGGCCTCTCATTTGTGATTGGAAAAGTATCTTTGTAGTGCCAAACACTCCAGCTGCATCCTCAAACAGGTAAAGGTATAAATATTTCAGAATTTTTGTTCTCCACCTTGCAAAACTTGATAAGATATTTTTCCTTATTTGTGTGCGCTTTCTTGTCATACCTGAGAGTACAACAAAATCTGATGCCATGCATTCAAATTCATTAAGAAATACTAGCCATCTGCGACTCTTTCTTCTGCATATTGCTTCATCTACTTCAGAAGTATCGTCTAGATTTCTGAATACATATTGCACTTCACATGCCGTTCTAATATCGCATCCTGCCTGCAATTTACGAAAAAGCTTCTGCATTACTAGTGCCTAGAATTCAATAACCAATCCATGGTTATGGACTTGTCCGAGTTTTTATGTTTGTAATCCTGCAGAAGGATGCTTATTGGCTTTTCAATTTTTTTTTTATTCATGCTTTATCTAAGGGAGGGGAACAGAGTCTACCTGTATGGCTGACAACAAGTAAGTTTTATCTGTAGAATTTTTCGCATTATAGGGACAACCAGACATACAATTTCCACAAGCCTGGCAGGAATCAGCCTTCCCAAGCTTTTTTGAGCTATACATTTGGTCTTCTGTATCAAAATTCACAGTTAACTTCAATGGCTCGGGATTTTTAAAGCCAGTCTCTTCTCCTACTGCTTCATCCATGATTTTCGCATTCCTGAACTTGATGGGAACATCTTGTATTCGTAGCATTGTAGAAGCTAATGCTTCACAAACCTCCCAATCTTTTTCCCAATCTTTAGGCCATTTCGGGTTCCTTCTTGTGCGAGCTGGTGTTGGCACCACTACTCCTGCATTCACCAGTGAACCTCCACCAAGCCCACAGGCCATTGCAGCTACAGAATCATCATGTCTACAAACCTGTACTCTCGTTGAGCATGCCCACGAATGGAAGAGTTAGAGCTTTAAATCAGCAGACCATAATGCAGAGTCATTAATACCACGGAAAAACGTTATTGTGAGCAATACATAAAGAGTCTTTTCGTAAAAAGGATACTCTATGGTCTTTGCTGTGAAATCATATTTCCTCGGACCTGATAATACTGTCGCACACATTGATTTCTCAACTTTATATAACTAATAAACTATATGAGTAAATTTTGTATGTATACACTATCATGATTGTATGGATGACATATGAGTAAATTTTTTATTTCAAATTTAAATTTTGTACATCTAACATATATCTAATGATAATAGTGTATGTACTTGGATATAAAATTAATCCAAACTATAATATTAGAGTGTTTTCTGCTGAAGTTCCATTGTAACCTTGGGGTGTTCAAACGTTAGAAAAACTTAAAAAGCCAGCCAATCCAATTTAGATCATATATCAGCTACAGGAAAATGGATATCAAGGAAAACCAATTTATATCCAATCTCTAAAATTCGATAAAATGGAATGATTACAAAAAAAAAAAAGAATGATTACAAAAATTTAATTCCAGAATTCTTAATTACTAACTGAATTATCGAATTTTGTATGTAAGAATATGATCGTAGAAACACATTAGTTAAAAAAATAAACAGACTCTATCTTTTTGATTACATATTAAATATATTTAACTAATCTACATTTGAATATCCAATTTAAAATTTTGGATATTATTAAAATCTGGCCAAAATCTAATTATCGATCTTTAAATTATCAAATCAAAATTTGAACGAAAGTCGAACATTGATCTTACAATATATATATATATATATCGAACTCTTTTGACTGAGCTATCGATTACCAATTTCAGAGCACCCCTAATATAGCCCATACGTAAACTTGTTACAAGTTGCAATTTGGAAGACTTTTCAACTTTTGTGCGTCCATGACTACACCACTATCTGACAAAACAAGAGGGTACGTACGGGACTTGGAGTATGGAAGGTTGTTAGTGACAATCATATAACTATTTTTTGAACATCTTATAATATTTGAATTACTTATAAAATTTTATAACAAATGCATAATTATTATACATGAATCCACATGAATAGTAGCAGAAGGACAATGCTATAGTGCCTATAGTTATGGTAACGATATTAGGGAAACCTGCTATTGTAGGTTTCTATTACCTTTAGTGACAGATCAAAATTTTTAGGGACTTTTTAAATATTATATTAAAATAATTAATATTAACTTTAGTAAGTTTTTAATTAAAACTAGTAAGTATATACCTGAAAGATAAGTTTTAGCCAGAAACAGAAATTTACACTTTGAGTAATTTAATTTACTTATTATTTGACAAAATTTACTTATGTTTAAATTAAACTTACTAATACTAAAAGTAAAAAATGTATATATTTAAGTAATGAAAACGGTTTTGGGTTCTTGAAAACGGTTTTGGGTATCACCTTTCTCTTTAAAATCATCTACCTTCTTCTTATTTAGTTCTCAGTTCCAATGATACGATTGAATTCCCAGGCAAAGGTTTCCACTTTGGTCCACACTTTCTCTTTGTTACAATTGAATAAATCTTCTCACTTCAAAATTTTTATCTTTAGTTCACACTTTCCCTCTATCCTTTCTCATCGATCGGTTGGTTTTGAGTGCTGCCATATGCAGACACAACAAAAGAGTTAGCGACAGTGGTAGCCAGCCAAAGAGCATATGAAAAATAGCAGTGACGAGGTTAGACCATCATGTTCTCTTGAAATTGTTTGATTATATTGCTGTAATTTATTTATATTTCATTAGTTTTGTTTGTCAAGATTTTCTTGCGAAATCAAGGCTGAGAATTTGAAGATTTTATTGCAATTTTGGGGTTGAAAATGTCCGTTGAAACATCTAGGAAATGGTTGTAGTTTTGATTGTCTGCGGGTAAAATATGCTTAATAGCCATGTGAAACATCTAGGAAAGGACTTGAGACTAGGCGTTTAAGTTAAATGTGATTAATTTGTGAATGCATATAAGATGTTTGGTGAAATGTCAAAGGGAAATTTGTATGTTGTGATTGCTACTCTGTGCGGGTGACAATTACTAATAGATTAGTAACTCAACATGAGCTTTATAACTTGAATTCTTCAGGCAAGAGAGATTTCTCCCGTTCTGGAATTCTAAGTTGATACGCTTGATGGAGCAGATGTTATTGAACTGAACTGATCTAGATTCATTGTTGTGAATCTGTTGTTTCTATGGAAATTTATTATCAGCTTCTTGAATTTTTTACTCCATTGTAACGTCTGCAATACCACGGAAATTTGGCCATCTATGGAAATTTATTATCAGCCTCTTGAATTTTTTACTCCATTGTAACGTCTGCAATGCTACGGAAATTTGGCCATTATTACTCTTGTAAATCTGTGTTGCAGAAGCAATTCTTATTACCGTCCTATGATACATGTAGATTTTGTAGAATCACATCTTCCCTCTTCTTCAATCAGGAAAGGAGAGAAAATTCATAGAACAGTTTCCAAATGTAAGCAGTTAAGATTTCAAAAATAAGAGGGATCACTAAAAGGGAGATGATATTTCAAATACTAAACCAACCTAATAATATCAAGGAGCAGGACATAAAGATCAATGTATATTCATTTCTGGTTTGAGCAAAGCCTGGACAAAGCAAGTTGTAGCATCCTGTTGATCGAAAATTATTCCTCTGTTCATTGTTGGATGGAAGACAGACCGATAAATACATGATGTCAATTTTAGCTGCATTCTGAATTTTTAAGAGAAAGTGATTAATTTAATTTTAAACTATCAACAAATGTGGGATGCTTACAGTCCAATAAATGAAAAAACTTGTTCTTTTATCTCCATATAATTCTGGAAAAAAACCTGTTGTCGTCCAATTAAGACATACAAAGAAATTAATAGAATGATTAAGTGATCATTTTATATATGCTATTTTGAAGAAAATAAAAAAAGGCTTGTGTAACAGGTGCCCTAATGCGTTTTGATTGTAAATTTGAACATAATCTCCTTAGTTTGCAATTTCTGGTGTTTACTTGTTTTAATGTGAATAATTTCAGCTTGCTTGGAAAAAAGTTTGGTGATCAAATTTCAGATATTGTTAGCATCCAAGTGCTCTTGGGTTTGTAAACCAGAAATTTCAATCCAAACTGAAGCTTTTGATAGTGATATCAGAGCCCTTGATGCTGGTGATCAAATTCTCAAATCAAGTTACTAGCCTTTTGATTGGTTCAGTTTTCTGAAGCCAAAGTCTTTGTGCTCTAAATTCAGTTCTTGGCCATGTAATCTTGTCATGCTTAGATAGCTCTATCTAGTGTCCTGCCAGAAAGCTATATCTTGACATGCTTAGATAGCTATAGCTATATCTTGTCATGCATGGAAACTTTAAATCCAGCATTGCATTTCAATGTAAGGAGGTGAAATCCTATTTTCTAGTGACTTGTTGGCCAATTTGAATTAGATGGACCTTTGTTTAGTCCAAGTACTAAATAAATAGGTGAGTAGATTCATTCTGATGCTCAAAATGAGCCGTTTTCTCCTATTTTGAAATACCAATTTCATATCAAATGTCTTGTGCATGTAGATTTTGTTGTTTATTTCAAATTGGACTGGCTTACTTGATCAGCAGAACTCGAAAAGCAACTCAGATACTCATGTTATACAATACTCAGCACACGGTTTTTTAGGTTTTAAACTGGATAGATCTCGGAAAACTTGAAGATGTGTTGTGGAAGTGTTGTGACTGCTATGCTATACTAATAGTCTGCAATTTCCTTCTAAGAAATAAGCACGGCATGAACTTTCCCGTGGAGTTTTTTGCTGTGTTAACCAAGTACCTGTGCGTTTATGTGATTTGCTTGTATCCATAAAGCAGGAATTTCGAAACTCTAGAGCTTTCGAAATGAGTTTTTGAGTTTGAAACCAAGCATATGGTTCGTTTATAATTAGGGGTTTTCTATTATACCCGATCTCAATCTGACCGGCCACTATGATTTGGATCCGATTGCCACTCCTAATTATATTGGTAAAAAAATATATATATTTTACAAATTATTCCAATTTATTTAGAAAATGTTACTAATTTCATTACAAATTATGAAATGTAATCATGGTTTACTAATTTTTTACTAAACATAAATACTGCATACAAAAGGAAAAGATATTTGACTTTGTTTTGCTTTGATTAGAAAAACTTGTTGTAGTAATAACGAAATAGTGACCTTGGTGCAAATTTCAAATCAATAACCAACGTACACTTAATTACGGTAATTTTTTAGTTGATTATACTAATATATGCCATAAAGTAGTAAGATTTGATCATTTATAAATTGACAATTTTAGCAGTTTATATACCATTCACCTATAAAAATTATGATTATTATAAAATGATATTTTATAATAATTTACATACTATTTGCCAATTAAAAGTAAGTTTCATAAAAAATGTGCATGTAAATCCATATTGTGAATGATACGAAAAATATTTGAAACTCACGAAACTTAATATATGGGTAAATTTACTATAATTTTAAAAGATTACGCTACATTAGATACGATCACTTTACCTTTTATACTTGTGACCTAGAAAATAAATTTATTAAAACACATAACATTTATAAATGATACATACATTTATTAAAATGCTTAAAACACAAAACATTTATGAATGAAACATACAATCATGTATTATACATTTACGTTACCAACAACTACTAACTATAATATTAAGTTTCAACCATTAATAAAAAAATCTTAGCACTAGTTTAAATAAACTTCCTAATACTTGTTTCATATAAGTTTCTTTAAGTAATATAGTAAACTTATGCCACAAACTAGTAAGTTTTGATGATTAACCAAATTTACTATTCTATCAACAAGATTTACTATTAATCTATAAAAACTTACTATTACTTGAACTGAACTTACTCCCCACAAAACTAAGTTTCGAATGTAGAGTAGTAATTTATTTTTTTTTAAAAGTAACTTTCACTTTTTATTTCGATTGACTTTTTGAAACATAAATAGGATAACACTTATATGACCATTTTTTATTTAATTTTTATTTACTTTTAGCGGCCATTTGATTATTTGATAGGTCTATCTACCTAAATAGGATAACACTTACAAATAAGAAAGTAAGTTTCCCATCTAAAATAGTAAGTTAACAGTAATAAATTACTAACTTTTATACTTCAAAATGTAAATTGGAATAAATATTAAACTTACTTTTTAAATAAATAAATTACTACTTTATATCCCAAACTAACTTTTTTAACTTCCTGTTTAATTCAAGTAGTAGTAAGTTTTAATACATAAATAGTAATTCTTACTGATAACATGGTAAAATTGATTAATAATCAAAACTTACTGATTTATGAGACACATGTACTATTTTACTTTAAAACATATTTCAAACTAGTGTTAGGGAATTTATTTGAAATAACGATAAGATGTTTTATTAATGATTAATTTTTAGTACCTTAGTTAGTAAGTACGCATAATATACCTGTATAATACATGATTATAGTTATCATTTTAAAAAATTTATTTACATATTTTAAAATACTATGAAAAAAAGTTTGACTTTTCACATAATCTCGTAAAATATGTAATAAAATTTTGTCGTATTATAAGTTTTTAATTATTTTCAATTTTTGAAAAGTTTGAAAGTTTGGATAACAATAACAACAAATCTTCCTAGTTATATATAGAATATTACTTGTTTATATATCAAAATTTTTATAAATTAACACCTATGAATATAATAAGATGATAAAGTTTAATAAATTTACATTTGAGACACAAGAAATAATAAGAGTAAAAGCCTAAACAAAATGAGAAATAATATAATAATAAAAATGATAAAATTAGTATAACAATTAATATAAGAAAATTAAATTAAATTTAATTCATGTATAAAATGGTCCTAAAATAATTAGTACACTATGATACAATGTTATTTTAACAACAAATTTTTTTTTTTACTAAAAGTCTGAAATATCCATGACATACGTATGAGGGATATTTTACCATATTTGTATCTCACATCTAATTATGAAAGTTAATTTGAGAAAAAATATTTTTGACAATAGAATTATTTTGAATTTAGTCAACAAGTTGAGATTTTTTAAACAATAAAAGTGAAATATTTTGGGAACTTAGTTATTTATTTTCCCATAATTAAAAATTGCTATATTTTAGCAATTGTTGCCATTGACTTTTCATTCTGTAGACTAATTTTTATCAATGCAATATTAGTTTTATTAACAATCATTGAAGTTCCATTGATCCGAGGATGGGCATTTTATTGCTATTATTTTATATGTAAATATTTAGCCTAAGTAATAAAATAAATAATAGCTACTTAAAAAAAAGGGAAATTGATGTACAATTGATTGTGGTGTAAAATATTAGTATACAATTAACTAGAGTTTGAAATGGAATTAAATTTATTTAGTATTTTACTGTTAACAACTTTGACCCCATTTAATGGTTAAACAAAAAATAAAAGAGACGTAGAGACTGGGATTGGTTCCTTAGTGTGAAAAATGAAAGTTTTTCTAAACTAATGCTGCATAAAATTCTGGATGCATATGAAATTAGAAATGTGATAACTTTGCAATTCATTCTCATTCATGATGAATTTCTGCGATTCTATATAGAATCGCAATTTTTTTCGTTCAGCATGGAAACATTCTTTTTTTTGTCATATTGATGGCTTTTGCTTTTAAGATTATCTACATGTCGGTGGTTAGTATTATTGACAAGGTTAGAGGTCATGGTAAATGTTACAAATTTTAGGAGAAATTATGTATTGTAAAAATGGTTTAATAATTTTCGATTAAGCATAAGTACTGCATACAAAAGGAGAAGATATTTGATTTTATTTTGCTTTGATTAGAAGAACTTGTACTAGTAATAAAGGAAATTTCAATTCAACAATCAACGTGCACATGATTACAGTAATTTTTTAGTCATTTAGACTAATATGTGCCATAAAGTAGTCAGATTTAGTCATTTGTGAATTCATAATTTTAACAGTTTACATAAAATTCATCTATTAAAATTTATGATTATTATAAAATGCCCTTTTATAATAATTTACTTACCATTTGCCAATAAAAAAAGAGTTTGATAGAAAACATATGGATACAAGTCCATAATGTAAATGATACAAAGTATGTTTGAAAGTCACAGAACTTAATATATGGGTAATTTTACTATAATTTTCAAAGATTATGCTATGTTAATACAACTTTAATTTTTATACTTATGACCCAGAAAATAAATTTATTAAGATTTTAACATTTTATTAAATTCATAGGCATTAATATATGAAAATTGCGTACCATTTTATTATATTCGTCGGTGTCCATATATGGATATTGTGATGTATAGATAAGTGCAATTCTATATATAACTCGAAAGATTTTTTTTTACTATCATCCAAACTTTTTAACCTTTCACAAATTCAAAATTTATAATATGACAAATTATTCTTACATATTTTATAAGGTCATATGCAAAAAAAAAGTTTTCATAGTTTATTTAAAATGCTTAAAACATATAACATTTATAAATGATACATACAATTGTGTATCATACATTTACATTACGAGTAATTACTAACTATAATACTAAGTTTCAATTATTAATAAAAAATCTTAGCATTATTTCAAATAAACTTCCTAATACTTGTTTCATATAAGTTTCTTAAGCAAAATAGTAAATTTATGCCACAAACTAGTAAGTTTTGATGATTAACCAAATTTACTATTCTATCAACAATATTTACTATTAGTCTATAAAAATTTACTATTATTTGAACTAAACTTACTCTCCAAAAAGTAAGTTTTAGATATAGAGTAGTTATTTACTTGAAAAAAAAAAGTAAGTTCCATATTTATTCAAATTTACTTTTTGAGACATAAAAGTTACTAATTTCTTGAGTTAACTTACTATTTTTATTGTAAAACTTACTAACCATATTTTTAGGTACTATTTTATTTAGATGACCAGTACAACAGGTAATCAAATGGTCACTAAAAGTGTTTTTACCTGTTATATCAGGTAAAAACAGTTTCGTTACCATAACGTTCGTTACTTCAGACTTTTCCGTAGCAGAATATTATACTTCTATTATAAGCATGTATAAATAGTTAAAATATTATTATAACTTATTTAAAAAGTGTTATACTATTCTGGATGATTATTACCGGTAATCGTTCGTGTTCCGCATCCTTGGGATTTGGAGACACAGTACTGTCCAGGGTCTCCACATAAGTCTAGTTGTGCTTTGCACACCAGTTCAGGTGATTGCAAATGAAAAAATTAAAATAAGCCCACTTGTGTGATAAATTTTGAAACAAGCGTGAGAAGTAGAAATATCTGGATGTGGAATATATGAGCTTCCTTGGACAATTCTACATGTCACTGGTGTGCCTTATTCAGAAAGAAATGATAGCTCTTGTGCTCTTGTGGTGTACAAGTTGGTAGAGTATACTACCTTGATGGACTAGTCCCATTCTAAAAAGATATAATATTTTTTGAATGAGATATAATTTTATCTGAACTATTTATAAAATTTCACAATAAAAATATAATTATTATATATGAGATTCATATGAACAGTAATAGAATATCACATCTCTGTTATAAAAATGTACAAATAATTCACTTAAAATTAAAACGTTCAAAATATATTACATACGATTAATTTGATTTGTCCCTGCCCGGCACCCTACCTTAATCAACAATGGGGGCTGCTCTAGACTAGGTTATCTTTCTGACTTCTCCCAGTCAGGAAGCAACCGCGTAGAGCAGTCATTGTCATTGTGCCATTTATGCTCATTTAGTTCATCTGTATTCATATTAGTACTTGTCTACTTGAATCATTCTCCAGCACAAGGGTAAGAAGAAGAAATTTGTAAAAATATTCTTTACCAACCGACATGGAAGCGATTTCAAAAAAGAATTACTTGATCATCTTTTTAAACAAGACTCGGAGAATATTAATGAAAAATTTGAGCGTATTAAGAAGCAATTAGAATCATAAAATTTGTCAAAATATGATACTAAGCAATTATATTACAAGGCAACAAGTTAGTAGAATTGTATAAGGGATAGAAAATATGACACATGGAAATTACTTAAATTACGCAAAACAACTAGGATGTCACGTTGCTATCCATTGAGGATCGATCCTGCTTGGAATCCAACTTGGGTGCCCTTGGGATCCAAATGATGAGTTTAAAATGTAATATGAATAGCACTAGAAAATAATAAAAATAAATTATAATACGAAAGAAAACTATGACGTTTATTCAAATTAAACATCTTAAACTGTTTCTTGGGCATTTTTGGTTGACGGGGTCCTTTTAGCCTAAACCCGGGCTTGATGCATCAAATCACCAACATGGGAAATTAATGATAAGTTTTCATTCAATTCGAAAAAGAAAATATGACAATAACGTTTTTTTTTTTTTGTTAAAGAGGAACCACTTCCTCACAAAAAGGCCATACATTTGAATTTTCTATCGATGTGAGGTTGGAAGATCTGTAAAACTTATGATTGTTCGAGAACATGTCCTTATTCACGATGGCGATGTGAGGTTAGATGATCTATAAAACTTATGATTGTCCGAAAACGTGTCCTTATCCGTGACCGCGATCGGAGTTTAACCCATCTAAATTTTTTATTCCCAATATATATATATATATATATATATATATGACAACAATAATAACATGGAAGAGAGTAACCGCAAAAACGAAAGGTTGACGCAGTCAATCTTCGGCAACTAGTGTGGAACCAAACTATCAAAGGAGAAAGAAACTGTAGACAAGAGAAGGAGAAAGTAAGCGATTAACCTGATAAAGAGCATCCTTAGGGCCAAAGCTGACTCCAAATGTCCTGTGCTCTATCCTGACGGCAGACAGCATTTGGGAAGTGTCAGTCGGGAAATCTTGAGCTTCCCATTTCCTCCCTTTTTCAAGTAGGCATACTCTCAGACCACCCATAGCTAGCCGACAAGCAGCAACAGAGCCTCCATATCCAGACCCGATTACTACAGCATCATAGTCGTTACAAGCCCCTTCAGCAAAGCACTCTCCTGACCTTCGAAACTCCATTTTCTTTTTTCTTTTTTTTCCCCTTATTTTGGTTTGGATATTTAACCCCCCATGTACTTGGTTGAAATCTGTCGAGCAAGTTAACTATATATAACATACTTGGTTGAAAGTCCAAAGTCCAAAGTCCAAATATGAATAATATTCTCCCACAATTGATTCTAAGTTCTACTTGCGTGTTGTTTGTAGTCTTGCGGCTATAAGCCTAGTCATGGACTTAGTCTTCGATCATGCACAGCATGGCAGAGAAAATTGCTGTTTTGGTTGCAAATATTTGAGATATATGCATTTTTAGTTTTTACAACCGCAATGTGGTCGTGTGCTAGAAACTAATTTTTTAAAAAGATCAATAAAAATCTGCTAGCCTTAATTTGTAATAATAAAATATGATTAATTACCCATATACGAGTCATGTGAGCAATTAGTTTTTAACCCAATCGTTTTTTCGTCAACTTCATTTTTGTATTTTTAGGCTGAAAACTAATTACTCACATGATTAGTTTGTGAGTAATTAGTCTTCTTTTACTACAAATTATGTCCATTAATATTTATTTCAAGTTCTTAAATTGCTTTTAAAAAAATTAATTGCTGGTGCGTAATTGTATGTTATCGGATTCCAATTGCAATTGATAAATAGGACTAAATGTGCTTAGAGATTGAAACATTTGGCACTATGTTTATCTTTTGCTAATTTTTAGGGACTAAAAACACTCATATCACAAAAATTTGGGACCTAACTGAAATTCTCTCGGCATTATATGACGAAACTCACTCATAAAAAGTCCAAGTAAATTTAGGTCTCCAAATGGACTATAATAATAGTAATCGATTTTCAGGCAAATGACAAATGCAGGCCGCTGAATGATGGAATTGGTTCTTTTGTATTTGATACTAGAAGTTTTGTCCTATGCGGCTATACCAAACGTTTTTTGTACGCTTGAATCTTAATTCCCATCAGGATGCATTCGGCTCCACGGATTTGGAGTTGACTTAGAAGACAGATTTGTGATCCCAAAACATTGAATAACGTTGAAATTTCTTGGTTTTACAAATGTATTGAATTGAGAAGGCATTCATTTGGAATTCTAGATTCTTGATTTGGATGGAAGAAGAAATAGTAGAAAATTACAATTATTTATAACTTCGATTTGCTTATTTGAGAATTCTCTTTCTTTTTTGGGGTGTATAAGAATTCTTTGTTTACTGCATTTTAGCTAATCACAATGCAAAGCTTTCAAAGAATTTGAAGTAAATAATTTGTGCCCTTTTTGGCCAAAAAAAAAAACTATATTAAATAGTGAATCAAGTTATATATTTAATACAACCAGAACATGAAATCATTTGTTAGGATAAAAAAAAATCACACAGCAAAAGTATTAATATCATATCAAAATCAGGAGGATCAAGACAAAAGCTACAAGACAAAAGGTTATTCAAATTCTCAACAATACAAACATATAAGTATGGAAGTTTGGTGCGGCTCCATGCAGGAGTAAAATACTTGGAACAAGAAGGCTTGGAGCAATATGTATTATATTAAAGACAAAATAGCTACAGATCTCCTCAATTAAAAACAATCGGCCACAAGACATTTTATAGGAAACAAAACTAACTCCTTACCAAGTTTTACCTTCATCAACTTAAACCTATTCCAATACTAACACCTAAACACAACTCAACTATGTTTTCTAAATCAACTTTGATACCAATTCTAATCTAGTTATCAAATATTAAATCGAATTCTCAAACAACTAAAATTCTATATAGCTTAGTTTTTTTCGATCAATATTACCTTCCTTAAACCAAACTTTCCAATTTTGTCATTTCCAATACCAGCATGAGTTTTAATCGCCATTGCAATCTTTGCAGTAGTATAACCGATGTGCAACTCCAATTTTATTTTTTATTCTAATCTTCACCAGTAGGTATGGATCATACTTGTACTTTGTACATGATTCGGCTGCTAATGTCGCTTGATCAAAAATTTTATCCCTGTTAAGGGATTAAATCCTTGACCTGCATTCTAATACTCAGGCGTGTAAGCATTCATTTGGATCGATAATGATTCAGTTTTCTCCGAATTGTCCTTTGACTTCTTTAGGTTTCCCCTCCCCCTCCTATAAAGCAGGAATAAGAGTATGAATAAGTATAGAATATAATTTATAGTAAAAAAAAACCTTAAAATTGTGCTGTTGCTATTGTAAATTTATGACTTTTGGGCTTAGTTAGACTCCATTGGTTACACACAGAGCTAAGACTAAAATGTTCCCCTCCTTCCTTTACACCAATTTGGTTGATAACATTTAAATCAAGATTTCCTATTACAGAAACTCTAGCTCATGTTTTTAGTACTATTTATTCAAAAAAGATGATGGTCTTCGAACCTAGATGAGCCGGTAGCCATAGGCACCATTTCATACCATAATTCAACATTCAACCTTCCCGTCCCTTTCACTGACTCCTTCCCATTAAAGGAAAATAAGGCAGAGGTAGAGATAAAGATCCATGGTCTTGTCGGTGCAAAATATTCTTTGGAAAGTCTATTGTTTGTTTCAATGAATTTGTGTTTCAATTTAGAAGTTAGAAAAATTAAGAACTAGTCATTGCCATCAACATTGGAGTTTCTTTTATCACTTCAATTGGGTGCGAAAAAGATGCAAAGCCAAAATCTACTCAACGATCACCTGCTAGGTGGCATGCGAAATCTGTCGATTATGCAAATAGTATTTTGAATTAAGTTATGTGTGAATTAGATTTCTTGATTGAAGTGAGAGACACTTTAGTTGTTAACATCAAATCATTGAACTGTTGATTTTACTACTGAAGAAAGATAAACATTTTATCCTTCAAATTTAATGTTAAAGAGAAAAATAAGCATAATAGTCATCAGTCTCATAAACATTTCTTCTGTACGATGCTTGGGCCATATTCATCATATTCATCCGCTCTGATCCACATCTGCAGAGGAACATTCAAGTATATGTATCAGGTGCCATGGTATTATTCTCTGAAGAACATGTGTGAGGCTAGTACTAAGTAGTAACAAACAAAATTTTATTCTCAATGAGAAATGAAAATTTTTGCCATCAAGATCACGATAAAGCAGTCTTATACAGCAAATCTGACATGGTTATTGCATTTCTATGTTTTTTTCTTCTATGGCTCAAACTTTTATCAGTTAAAGCGTGCTATAAATGAATTATTCGGCCTAACAAAAATTGTAACAAAAAAAGTAGAAAATGGAAAGAGGGTCTAACTGAAATTGACAGTACTAATTAATAAATAGCGTTATTTTTCTGTCTGGGGAGGAATAAATAGATACTTTGGCTCTTAATGTGGATTTTCAATTTCTTATAAAGAAAAAAAAATGGATAATTAGCCGTTTAAATGTGTCAAGAGCTGCTAATTTTGAGCCTCCGATCCAAGGACCATACTCTCTTCCAGGTAGTGCGAGGACACTGATGTTTTTTAAGATGGGAACACGGCCTGTAATTTCCTTATCTATTAGGCCTCGAAAGCTAGAGCACAAAATCAACTCTTTTCTCACGCGATCTGCAAAACCACGGAGCAAGGTTGATCCACCACTAAGTACAATGTTGTTGCTAAGAATTTTTTGAACGTGTACATCACACTTCCTTATAGATCTATTAGTTAGCTTCTGAATTCCATCATCTTCCAAGCCAATAATGGATGGCTGAAATAGGATCTCTGAACATTGAAACCTTTCTGAGCCAACTAGGAGCACTTCACCACCAGGACACTCGTATTTCTCATGAAATAAAGTGGGATTGGTTATTGAGGTCTCCATTTCTTGTGAAAAATCTAGTGCTACATATCCAAGCTTCTCCTTTATTTTTCGCAAAATTTCTCTTTCCGAACAGTTATACCAATGCTGACTCCAAAGGCGTGTTGTGAGATCACGACCTCCAAGATTTAATTTTGAAATGGCATGTGGAAGTGCATGGCCTTCATAAATTGGAACAATGTAGCTAATCTCCTCGCCTACATGAAGAACTGTACCTGTTTCCAAAAATAAAATCACTATCGAAAAAAAATCAACAGAAGAGGAGAAATTATAGTGAAAATCCTGTAAAGAAAAAGGTACATACCAGTAGCACGACCGCTAAAATATAAAGAAAGAATGGCTGGATTAGCCAGATACATTGCAGGTACATGGTGTTGGAATGTATGCCCTAAAACAATGTATTTGTTTTTATCTTATACATTCCTTATTATATGTTTTGTATTTTAATAACTTCTTATTTATCTGTTAAATATTAGATACAACCGATAAAGTCCTTATAATATTACTAATGTGATGATAGTCACAAGAGTTGGTGACTATGAGATATCAATCACATTTATAGTAATATTATTAAAATGCCCTAGTTTTTGTACTAATGAAATAGGACATCTTTAGTACGATAAAACTAGTACACAGTTAGCCTCTAATTAATGTAATTAGTGGTTGTTCTCATCAACTATGGTATGAAGATACTTAGGCTAATGTGTAGATGATTTGAAAAGTACAAATGCATTGGATGATCCGTTTAGAGATCCCGTTAGGATATCTATCTAGTGCCAATGGTGTATCTCTAGTGAAAATTGTGTAAGTGATCCTACGACTTGAGATCACCATAGTATCTTGAGTGTGAATCGCTACATTTTGACTCTATTTACTTGTTACTCTTCGTGAGTACCTTAAAATGTAGAAGTTGGATGTAGTGTGAAGCACGTAAAGAAAATGGGTGATCAAGACAGGATTTACCACTCTGATAGAAGGAGTTGATATCCGAATGGCCACTAGTGAGAAATTAACCCTAAAGTCGACTACTAGGTAAATTGAAGAATGTCTTCAATTTAACCTAATTAAGGGTAAATTTCGGGAACTAGAAAATTTAATTAGTCATCAGGGAATTGGCACTTATTCCTTATTCCTGACTAATTGGATATCTTTGGTGAAAGGATAATAATTACACGGTAATTTTTCACGGAAAGGTTAGGTCAAATTCCCTTGACTAATTCCGAATAATTGGGCAATCACGATGTGTTGCTAGACACCGCTCGTGATTTATAATTATGGGTTAATTATTTATTATAAGTTATGATAAAATAAAGTCGTTTATTTTATCTAATTATTAAACCATAATTATTACCAATACATTCGGGACCTATTGGGTCACACGCAATAGAGATTTAATCTTGGATTGAAACTATGTGAATTATCGGGGTTTAATTTTAAAAGAAAATTAATCCCAGGCCTATTTGAGCAGATAAGAGTAAATGGTTATCTCTTATCTATCAGATGATGATAGATAGAGTCTTGAGTGAAGAGAAGTCTTAGGCTTTTGATTTTGAATCAGACAAGGAGACTTATCATCATATATTATCAGGTATCCCTCTCTCTCTCGGTTAAATAGTTTTTTGGCTGAGATACGAGAGGAAAAAGGTAACAAATAGAAAAAGGGAGAATCTGTGAGTGTCACATATTTTTCGAATAAGAGCAAGAAGGGCTAGCAACTTTTTCTTGCTCTTCAATACATAGTTCGTGAGACGACTCAGGGTTGCTCTAGCGTGGATATCAGTAGAGGCAGGACGATTGGACTGCTCAAGGGCTGACCATCCTCAAACAACGCTGCAGGGAGACGCTGCTTGGATTAAGGTAATCCTATAACCCTACTTTTTATACATCATACGTAAAATCTAGGGTGATTCCTGGATGGTTTTAGGGAAAATTTTTTATTTTTCCGCTGCGTAGTGTCCCTAAAACCCAACACATGGAAGGTCTCAAACATAATTTCGGTTAGTTTCTGTGGATTTGCCTTTGGGTTTAGAGGTGGTTCTGTGAGAAGAACAGGGTGGTCTCTAGGATCAACATGGAGCTTGTCATAGAATGTATGGTGCCAAACTCTCTCCCTCGAATCCCAGTTTTTTACAAGACCATTTTCTGTGGAAGGAAATATTTCAAGAAAACCCCTTTTGCCAAGTACTTCTTCTCCAACATAGGTTTGATAAGTTGGAAACATGTGTCGAGTCCGACCGACTAAATGAGGGAATGATGCCAGCGGAAAATCATCACCAGCAAAACCAGCCTGTTTAATGACTAACATTGCTAGCTCAGCTATATCATAAATATGCAGCAATATGGTTTCAAATGTTATCAGGCTCAAGTGCGTTTTTGGAGGTAAGGAAATTGAATCTGCAAGAAGTCCATTAATGGCTAACCTTTGTAGATCTAGTTCCATTGTAAATCACGATTGGAATGAGTGGTAAGATTCCATCATCCATCTTTCAATAATTCTGCACAAAATCATCACCACGTGAAAGTATTAACAAACATTTAGCATGTTTAGGAAACTTGTTTCAGATCATAAAATAAAAATAGTGAGTGATACCTTTTACTTTTCCTCGCTTTCAGGAATGCATCAGCAAACTACAAGATATGATTGTTGTGAAAATTACGAAATGGGGAATGAGAGAGAAATCTAGTTAACAAACTACAAGACTTTATTAAAACAACTCAAGGTGAAAGTATTTTGATGACTTCAAAGATATTCATACCTTCAAATGCAACAAATCTGGAATATGCAATCGATTATGACGGTTCTATTTCACCAACAAGCTTCCAAAAAAAAAATGTATGTAAGAGGGATTTTGCTTTACCTTAAACAAAAATAGCCATTCTTCTACCAGTAAATTTTCACTATTATTTTCTTGAATTGAATGTTTCTCTAGAACCCTAACAGCTTTATCCTTTCTTTGTGCTCTGTTTCTTATGTTGATGTTTTTATGCAATTTCAAATTGTCCATAAGTTTAGGCCCGTTTTGGACCTTAAGTCAGTTGATGTCAGGAAGATATTTTCAGACCACAGCGCTATGTCTGAAACAATGACCCCTCGTTTAGTATGTAGAAGAAGCCCGAAAAGAAAATGCCTTTCCAGATATGGTTAATTTAAGTGCAAAAATCCTTTTCCCCTAGAATACATATTCCAAATTTTTCCGGGAATCTCCCATTCCTTAGAAAAACTTGGCAAGCTCTTTCCAACTTCATCTTACAATGCCTAAAAAGCAAGGGTATCAATTGGGCCTTTTGAGATGGGTTTCAGCAAGTCCAAACTTGGTTTACAAATTATATGTATTTTTTGACTTCAGACTTTTGGGCTTCGGGCTCATATTAAAGGGTTCAACCGCGCATCACAATAATAAATGAGTTTCAGTCTAAAATTGGGATTGGTCCAAACTCATAATTAAATACATAATTATATATAATATACATTTTATAATTATAAATTAATTCAAATTTATATATAAATTATTAAAATTTTATGTTGTAATATGTATAATTATAAATTATAGATATTATTATATATTTTTACATATATAATTATACTCATATATGGGTCAGATCTTAATCGAGTTTAAGCCCAGTATAGCACAACCTTGACTTACATTTAGTTTGGATCTAACATTAAACCCAACCTTTGTCTGACCCAATTAAAACTTAGGTTTAGTGAATAATTATACTCATAAATGAGTCGGATCTTAATCGAGTTTAAGCCTAGTATAGCACAACCTTGACTTACATTTAGTTTGGATCTAACATTTAAACCCAACTTTTGTCTGACCCAATTAAAACTTAGGTTTAATGAGATTTTTTGGGCCAAACAGGCCAAACTTGGGTTGGTCCGGCCCATTAATAGTCCTACTAAAAGTAGGATGTAAAATTTATCCTTATAAATCTTTATACTGCATTATCATGATATCTTAAACTATTTGTAAGTTTAATTAAATTTGAATGTTATTTTTCATAATAATTAATTTCCTTATATTTAAAATAATCCTTTTCTTTTATACTAGGATACAAATGTTTCCAAAATAATTTATTTTTTTGACTTTTGAACAATTATACAAGAAATTTTTTTGAATCTTATCAAAATTGAAATAGATTAAAAATAAATTATAATTGTGTGACTTCATGTAATTTATATTTTATGTTACTAATTATATTGCTAATAAATGCAAAAATTTAACTTAAAAATCTATATATTAGAATAAAACAACTATTACATTTGAAGAATTTTGATATCAATCCTCATTTATTTTTGAATTAAAAATATCATAATTTTACATAAATAGACAAATACTATTATAGAAGCAAAACAAAAAGTAATATAACATATTACGTCCAATTAAATGGGTGACTTGAACGGATTTGGATGAGTCATATTTGGGTCAATCCATTTATACCTAATTAATAAAAGGGTCAAAATGAGTCAAGTCATTTATACCCATTTAAGAAATGGGTATGGATATACTCAATTATCTATTTATGACTCACTTTAAATTCTACTTGTTTTTTAAATTTTTTCGCATGTTGTTTAACAAGAAATAACGATATTTTATTTTTATTAGATTGGGAGGAAATTTAAATTTATATGTTTAACATCTACTAAAAATTGTGTTTAAATATATAATTATTTTTAAATGAGTATCAATGGGTGAACCGAGTTAACCTACTACTTACCAATTAAATGGGTCTAATTGGGTAATCATTTGGATTCATTCAAAGTTCATTACATACCCAACTCCACTTATTAATAGACGAGTTTGTACAGATCAACATAATTAGGTTGTGGTTGACACGTCTAGTACATATGATGAAGTGAGGAATAAAGCATTGTTCTCATTCAGGTGCTTTTTAAGGAATAGTAGTCTTGTTGAAATAAGAAAATCTTCCCTACTAAGAACTACTTCCCAAATGCGGGATAACAAACTATATTTAAGGATCTGGGTAATAGGAAAGAAACGCACACATCTAACCAATAGCTCATATTTTGTATATGGCTTGCAGATAATGAAAAAATGCAATATCTGAACTACACACTGAGACAACAATGGGCACTCCTTGGTTAACTTTACAAAGTAGAGAAGGCTCGTATCCTCAGCTATGACCATTACCAATTCCAGATGTTTGAGATGTTGGAGTTGGGGGAGTCCAATTTCAACGGCGGACAAATATGTCTCCCCGAAAGAAAACTAATCTAATCAAAAGTTTGCAACAAGTTAGTGCACAACAGCAGTTGAAATTATCATAACAAATAATCAATGAAACGACCAAAAAGGTCATTCTAACCTTATAAGGCGCACGCAAGACAAGTTTCTCCAATTGGTTGCTACACTTTAAATCCTTGGAAGTACGAAGAAGAAAATGCAAACACAATTCCCCATCCAGTGTAAGCTCCAATAACGAAGGAGTATTCTGATATTTGAAAGCGAATTTGTGGGAGGTTCAAACAAATTCTCAAAAAAAAAAAAGATTTGCAGCAGAAATTGTCAGAATCTCCAGAGGATGGCAAGAAGGTACAATCAAGGACTTGACATGGACTAACAATACTCAGATTCTTCGCGATGTTCAAGATGTGGAGAATTTGACAATAGCTATTGAATCATTTCCTGTATGATCTGTATAAAACGGCACAATATGTCAAGGATGTTAAAGACAAAAAACCACAATGATCCCTTGTAGGCTTCACTATGAATGTCGATAAAAACTGATCCAGGTCGGGGAAACTAGGACTACATGGGAAAAATCTAATTCGAAAACTCTTACAGCCCTTTGTGTGATACACCGAATGTTAGGAGATTGTTTTTAAAGAAGATACTGAAGTTTATTTCTTCGGGTTTGATTTAAAACCTTAATTTTTTAAAGGGACTAGAAACCCTAAATTCTAATAAAAAACCCTAGTTTACTTGTGACTAACCGGTTTTCTTAAATCTCTCATATATTAATCGAAACCCTAAATGTCATCAATGGAATTGTAAACTCCCTCACATTTTTCTTAAAATTCCTTTTATTTGGCATTTATTCCTTTCTAATAGCTTTACTACTCATTCACACCCTCAGTAATTGCAATCAACCATAGAATCAAGGGTTTTCCCTGTAGGTTCTTAGTTCGGTCAAATTAGGGCTTTTTGCGTATTTGACCGTGTGATCACTTGGTGAGATGTGTGCACTAAATTCGGTGCTTAAGGGTGAGTTTAGATGATATTAAGTGTGTGAATAGAGGTGATAATAATAAGTTAATGAATTATAAGATAAAATCCTAGTATACGCGATTTAAGGAAAAATCGACTCGAACCGACGGGTATCGGTCGCTACCGATTGGCTACCGATTGAACACACCATTTGACCACCATTTTATCAAGTTAATCTCATTGTTGTTAGAGCCTAAATATTAGCCCTAAATCTGATCAAGGAGGCTGAAATTTTTGACTTCAAGAACCAAGAGAAAAGAAAAAAATTGAGATGAAAATCGGCGGTGACAAGTGGCGGTCATCCATGAATTGTTGACCAACTAATTTCCTCTATATTTATCATCAAAAACTACTCAAAATGCTCTCCATTTCCCCCATATCAGCCGTGAGAGAGAGAGGGAAAAACAAGAGAAAGAGAGCTTTAATCCATCTTAGGTTTTGCTTGATTGAGTAAGAAAACAAGAAAACTAAACCGATTAACTTGCAAATTGAGAGTTTGGGAAGCTTAGGGAGCTAAATTTCACAAGGAGAGGTGAAGGATAATTCTTGCAAGCCCTATTATTGAGGTATTATGGCTGACCATCATTTCCTTTTCCCTTACTCTTGTTTGAGTTATGTAGTAATTTGAATTCATGCTTGGTGATACCTAATCTAAGTGATTTTGATGATTGTGGTGATGAATTTTGAGTTAGGGTTTTGAATGGTTCACTTGTAATTCTTGTTGTTTGGATGGTATATGGTGTATGTAGGCTTGTATAGGAGGTATTAGTAGTGGTTTTAAGCTAGAAATGTGAAGTTACACCTTGAATACCTTAAATTCCAGAATTGAGATTCTTCATTGCTCTGTTCTGCCCGGTTCTGTTTGACCATGATGGAGGCCGAATTAGACTTAGCACAAAACATGAAAGTTGTAGAGAATGATGTTCTGTAGCTGCTGTAAAATTTCAACTTAATCCGAGCACTGTAGCATGTGAAAAGACAAAAATACCCCTGACTGCCATAGGTAGAGATTTGTGGACAGTTTTGACATTTCACCAATCTGACCGCGTTATTTTCCCCCTGATCCATATTAAATTAGCATTTGGCCAAAACACAAAAGTTGTAGTGCTATGTTATAGCTTTCCAATACAGTTAAAAACGCCTCAATCGGAATTTTGTAGCCTGAGTTATTGTCAATTGAATATAGTGCAGTTAACTAGCCTGTTGGTGAGATTCTAGTTCTGTAATTTGAGAATTTGACCCGGATATACTAGGAACTGGACTGAGTGGTTTTCATCAAAGTTGTAGCCCTTTATCTTAGCTTCGTAACGGTATAAATTTCACCCCAATCCAATAAGCGTAGCTTCGATTGTTTCCGATACGCTAAGCGACGTCAAATCTGTCTTTTGTTTTATGACTGAAACTTCATTTCCGAACATTTTCCTAACTTGATTTTGTACTTGTACGACATTGAACCTATTGAACGGCTATTGTAATGAGATTATTTTGTGTGTGAATTTGGGACTGATTGAGGAAAAGAATGAAGCCATAAATGGCTGAAAAATAGGCAAACACAAGGGGCATGCCGTCCAAATTTTTACTAGAGGAATAAACCGGTCTTTGGAGTTCTGGTTCGGTAATCTGCAAATTTGACTTGGATACACTGAAAACTGGGTTGAGGTGTCTTCATGAAAGTTGTAACCCTTTGTCTAAGTTTCGAGACACTACCTAGTACATTTTGATCCGATAACCATAACTCCAGTTATGGTCAAAATCGTGTAACCTGTTTTGTACCATTTTCATTTCCGCGCACGCGCGCATGCATTCCTTTGCCGTTTTGCCGCTTTGATCGTTTTAGTCCTTATTTCCATTTGTGATGGTCGATTCACTGATAGTTGAGTATAATTTTCTGTCACAGGCAGTGACGAATCAGACGGAATCGGTGGACCCGTATAAAGTGTCTTGATTTACAAGCTAACTCTTTTGAGTGAGTAGTTGGGTTATTTATTGATGTGAAATTGTCAAAGTGCTTTGTATATGTTAAATGGGTACTTAGGCGAGAGTGTACTTGATCTCACTCGACCTAAGCCCATCCTTTGTTTTGATTTCATATGTCAGAATACATGCCTTATGTTGAATATCACTCTTTTGCTGTGTACTGATGGGGGTGTTTACATGATTTGAGTTCAACCCCTTTTTGCTGTGTGCTGTTGGGGTAAATACTTTGTTGTGTTTTTTGTTGAGAAATATCATCTATTGAGAGATTGGATATCTCAGGGCTTGGTTCCAGCCCGGTTCCAAGGGTAGACGAACTATTCGAGCCAACCGGGGCTTGGTCGAAGTTAGTTCCATGCTAACCTTGAGATTTCATTCTTTGTTAAAGTTTTGATTAAAACTAAGTGATTTTGTTTCGCTCGAGCTGCTGTGTGCTGTTAACTGGCCAGTGATAGGGCGTCATTTGTTAGTAATTTTATTAGTAATTTTCCCTTTTATCCCTGCCAAATATTGTGTTAATTGCGGATATCTACTTATATTTGGTTTGTGAACTTAATTTTAGGAATGAAACAGAAAACTACAAAAAAGGAGGGACTTTATGGAGAAAATGGAGACTTCTAAGGGTTTCAATCCTTGGGCCCTTGAATTGGTGGGGACCACAAAGTTAGTGAAAGGCATTTAGTCAATTGGGCTCTCCAAAGAAGGGAATGTAGAGAGACTTGGAACAAGAAGCAATTTGGAGACTTTGTCCACATGTGTGGGGACCACCTAGATAGCTTTTAGTCATCTTTCTTTTGGTTTTTTTAAAAGGGGACAACGTACAGAAGCAAGGGACGGCTTTAGTTTTAGCTTTTAGGGGAGTTTTAGTTTTTCTTTCTTTCTTTCCTGAGACTGGCCTCTGACACACGCCAGGTGTTCGACAATATTCCCCAACGGGAAAAACATCTTTTATTCCTTGCTTTCTAGTAGAAACACGCAATGCCTTTGCAATCTATTACTTCGTGTGGTGATTTAATTATGCGGCGTGGCTAAGCCTTCCATCTAGTCAAGGGTCAACTCGACGGCGCAGTCCCGAAAATCTGTGAGATCTAAATAGTTTTCACGCGTTCCTCAATTTATTAATATTTGCACGTTATCTGCTTGAATTTTCATGAGATTATTTTATTATTTGAATGTCAAGGGCCCGATGTTCAACGTAATTTATTAATCTCGTGCCAATTTAGTCAATTAAATCCGTAATTGTTTGATTGATTAATATTAGTGGCAACTGGTGTGTTTACACATTAGGGGAACATACAATCTAATTTAAATAACCCTCGTAGCGTGTTATTGATTAGGGCTAGGTTTTTCTAGTGATTAATGCAATTGGAAAATTAATTCCTACGGTTGTACCTAGGAGTATTTTCTGGTTAGAGGTAATCAATGGTCGTACCTTGGTTATCAATAAATTAAGGAAAAATTGGTCGTAGAATTCGTCGGCGACTATAACTAGTCTATTAATAAATTAAGTGAACCTCTCTTGCATCAATGATCGGATAAATGGACTGTGTCTGAGTAGTTGTATCCTTGGCTAGAATTTATTTATTCTTGATTTAATTCCTGCTATATTTGTGCTAGTTAATTATTTATTTTTAGTTGGATTGCTTAATTGTTTTTAGTTGCATATCGGTGAAATCCCCCTCTTACCAATTGGACTTTAAAAGAGACAAATATCCCCAGTCCCTGAGGAGACGACCCTACTTGCCACTGTCTACTATTTAGTAAATTTCGTCAATTAATTAATTCAGGTATATCGGATTCAGCAAACTCTTCGAGAACAGGGTGAATCAAGTAACCCATTGCACACCTAGAGTCCCTGCTCCAGTACCTAGGATTAATTTTTGACTGATTTTGGTGGTATTTAGGTTATTATTATTATTATTGCACAGATTCGGCACCTGTCAATTTTTGGCGCCGTTGCCAGGGACTGGCGTTATTATTTGTTTCTTTTTAAATTCATTTTTGTTCTAATTCTCTGATATTTTTCTAGTGTATGCCTCGGTTTTCTCGTACAGGTGATTTGATTTTTGACCCTGAAGTAGAGAAGACTGCGCGTAAGACAAGAAAAGAGACCAGACAGCTCAGAGAGGAGCACTCCAGTGCTACATCTCAGAGATCTGAGTCAGAAGTTGGACCAACAGATTCATTTGGTGACACTTCGAGTGACTCGAAGCAAGAAGAAATCCCCATGGCTAATGCACGAATATTAAAGGAGTTGGCTGCTCCTGATTTAAATCAGCAGCCTTTATGCATTACTTTCCACACTTTAAATGATAACACTCCATTTGAGTTAAAATCTGGTCTGATTCATCTTTTACCCTCTTTTCATGGTTTACCAGGTGAAGAGCCGTATAAGCATCTGCAGGAGTTTGATGTCGTGTGCAATAGTATGAAGCCCCCGGGCATTACAGAAGAGCAGATAAAAATGGGGGCATTCCCTTTTCCTTGAAGGATTCTGCAAAGGACTGGTTATACTACTTACCACCAGGTAACATCACCACGTGGGACCAGTTGAAGAAAAAATTCTTAGATAAATATTTTCCCGCGTCCAGGGCTGCAAGTCTGAGGAAAGAAATTTGCGGGATCAAGCAGCACCCAGGGGAGTCACTCTATGAGTATTGGGAACCGTTCAAGAAGTTGTGCGGCAAGTGCCCCCAACACCAAATAAGTGAGCAGCTGCTCATACAGTATTTTTATGAGGGGCTCCTTTTTAGAGACAGGAGCATAATTGATACTGCAAGTGGAGGGGCACTGGTGAACAAAACCCCTCGGGAAGCAAGAGAGCTAATAGAAGGGATGGCAGAGAATTCACAACAGTTCGGTACGAGGGAGGATGTCCCAGTACGTAAGGTGAATGAGGTAGAGACATCCTCTATCCAGCAGCAGCTAACTCAGTTGACCTCGTTTGTTAGGCAACTGGCTGTAGGAAATGCATCTCAGGCCAAGGTGTGTGGTATTTGCACTGGTATGGGTCACTCTGCAGACATGTGCCCAATGATTCAGGAAGAAACTGCAGAACATGTGAACATGGCTGACCACGCGCCCACGCCAAGAAAGCAGTGCGACCCTTACTCAAGCACCTACAATCCCGGGTGGAGAGATCATCCCAACCTCAGTTATGGAGGAAATAGGCAGCCCAACTTTGCACCGAACAGACAGTCTAATTTTGTGCCAAATAAGCAACCAGGGTACCAGCAGCAATACCAACCCCGACCACCTCCGCCCCTAAACTCTGGTCCATCTTTGGAGGAGATGATGAAACAAATGATGGCAACCATTACGCAAAATCAGCAAAGGACGGATGCAACAATTATGCAAAATCAGCAAAGGATGGACTCCGAAATGCAGGACATAAGGAATCAGATAAGTCAAATGGCTACTACCATCAACCGTTTGGATTCCCAGAACCAAGGTAAATTACCGTCTCAGCCTGAATTAAATCCGAAGAACGTGAGCGCAATGACCCTAAGGAGCGGAAAGGAAATTCAGGGGCCCGAGCCTGTGACTCCTAAGGACAAGGACGAGGAACGAATCGAGAAAGAGTTGGAAGAGGAGGGCGGAGACACCAAAAATCCAAAGGTAATCTCGGATCCAATCATTGCAGTTAGGACTAATCCACCTCCCTTTCCTAGCAGGTTAGAAAAATCAAAGAAGCAGAACAAGGAGAAAGAAGTCCTAGAGATCTTTCGCAAGGTGGAGATCAACATTCCCCTTCTAGATGCAATTAAGCAGGTACCCAGATACGCAAAATTTTTGAGAGACTTGTGTGTCAACCAAAGGCGGTTGAAGGGAGATGAGAGAGTGGTAGTGGGGGAAAATGTGTCAGCAATCCTGCAACGAAAGCTTCCACCGAAATGCGGGGACCCAAGTATGTTCACTATTCCTTGTAGAATAGGCAATACCTTGATTGGAAAGGCTATGTTAGATTTAGGAGCCTCAATTATTGTCATACCGAAATCTATATATGCTTCTCTGAAATTAGGACCTCTGAAAGACACTGGAATAATCATCCAACTGGCTGACCGAACCAATGCATACCCTGACGGATTGATTGAGGATGTTTTAGTGAAAATTAATGAATTGGTTTTTCCTGCTGATTTTTACGTGCTTGATATGGATGATGAACACTCTCACGACCCATCACCTTTACTGTTAGGAAGACCCTTCTTGAGCACAGCTCGAACTAAAATTGATGTAAATAAGGGCACCCTATTTATGGAATTTGATGGTGAGATTGTTCATTTTAATATTTTCGAGTTCATGAAATATCCTTCAGAATCACATGCTGGCTCTGTTTTCTCTATAAATGTTATTGACCCTGCTGTACGAGAAGTTTTTGAAATTGAAAGTAGGGATGAGTTGAAAATCGCCTTGACCAGGCACTTCGAGTCAGAGATGGCGTCTGGAGTAGAGTTGAGTGAAGAGCTCAAAATGTGTGATTGGAGCGTTGCAAACGTTGCCAACCACAAAAATAAGGTATGGTCTCGCACCCGTATTTACGCCTGAACCTCACCAAAGGTTACTTTCATCTGTGGTGCAGGCACCTGTGTTGGAGTTGAAACCGCTGCCGAAACACCTCAAGTATGCATACTTGGGTGAGGGGGGGACACTCCCGGTAATCATCTCCGCGAGTTTATCAAAAGTCCAAGAAGACAAATTAATTCGAGTTTTGAGGGACCATAAGCAGGCGATAGGGTGGACCATCGCCGATATCAAAGGAATTAGCCCCGCGGTATGTATGCATCGAATTTGACTCGAGGAGGATGCTAAACCTATCCGGCAAGCTCAAAGGAGATTGAATCCCCTTATGATGGAGGTAGTGAAGAAAGAGATCCTGAAACTGCTGGAGGTGGGGATAATCTTTGCTATATCAGATAGCCCCTGGGTGAGTCCAGTACTGGTGGTCCCGAAGAAGGCAGGGGTAACGGTGGAGTCAAATCAAGAGGGCGAACTCGTACCAGTTCGAAAGCCCACCGGGTGGCGGCAGTGCATAGATTATAGAAAATTGAATGCCGTCACGAAAAAAGATCACTTTCCCCTTCCTTTCATTGATCAAATGGTAGAGCGATTAGCAGGTCGAGCTTACTATTGTTTTTTGGATGGATTTTCAGGTTATTTCCAGATTGCTATCGCACCCGAGGACCAGGAGAAAACTACCTTCACGTGCCCGTTTGGAACATTTGCATACCGGAGGATGCCATTTGGGTTATGCAATGCACCTGCTACCTTCCAACGATGCATGGTAAGTATCTTTTCAGAGTATGTTGAGAAGATTATTGAGGTTTTTATGGATGATTTCAGTGTGTATGGGGAAAGTTTCGATAACTGTCTAAATAACCTAAAATTGATTTTGGTTAGGTGTATAGAAACTAATCTTGTGCTCAATTGGGAGAAGTGCCATTTTATGGTCAAGCACGGGATAGTTTTAGGTCATATAGTGTCATCTAAGGGTATTGAGGTTGACAAAGCAAAAATAGATGTTATATCTATTTTACCTTACCCTGCGAGTGTGCAGGAAGTGTGTTCTTTCTTGGGTCATGCAGGTTTCTACAAGAGGTTCATAAAGGATTTCTCCAAAATTGGAGCGCCCCTGTTCCAACTTTTACAAAAAGATGTGCCCTTTGAATTCAATGAAACATGTAAGAAGGCGTTTGATAGGTTGAAGGAGCTATTAATCTCCTCACCTATTATCCAACCGCCCGACTGCAACCTGCCATTCGAAATCATGTGTGACGCCAGTGATTATGCAGTGGGCACGGTGCTGGGTCAAAGAGTGGGGAAGGCATCCCATGCTATCTACTACGCATCTCGAGCCTTGAATGGAGCTCAGTTGAACTATTCGACCACCGAAAAGGAGCTTTTAGCTGTAGATTTTGCTTTAGAGAAATTTCGGTCCTATTTACTTGGTGCTAAAGTTATTATCTTCTCTGATCATGCAGCTTTGCGGTATTTGCTGACCAAAAAAGAGGCAAACCACGACTTATAAGGTGGATACTATTGCTACAAGAGTTTGACCTGGAGATCAGAGACAAGAAAGGAGCCGAAAATTTGGTAGCAGATCACTTGAGTCGAGTACAAGTCACCGAGGACGACCTCCCACTGAGAGAAACATTCCCCGATGAGCATTTATTTTCTGCTAATTTATCTTTGCCGTGGTAAGCAGATATTGTTAATTTTCTAGCTACTGACAAGTTCCCTGCTGGATGGCCTAAGGCAAAACGGGACAAGTTGAGGAGTGACGCAAAGTCTTACATCTGGGATGACCCTTACCTCTGGAAGCGTGGTGCCGACCAAATCATTCGCAGATGTGTAAGTGAAAATGAATTCCAATCTATTTTAGCTTATTGTCACTCTTTTGCATGTGGAGGTCACTTTGGACCAAAAAAGACGGCTCGTAAGGTTCTAGAGAGTGGATTCTATTGGCCGACCCTCTTTAAGGATGTCTACTCGTTTTGTAAGTCATGTGATAAGTGTCAACGAGTGGGTAATATTTCTCGTAGGGATCAAAAGACCCAAACCCCAATGATTTTTGTTGAGATTTTTGACGTTTGGGGTATTGACTTTATGGGACCTTTTCCTTCGTCTTATGGTTTTCTTTATATATTGCTTGCCGTAAACTATGTTTCGAAATGGGTGGAAGCAAAACCCACCCGTACTAACAATTCCAAAGTAGTTGCAGAATTTGTCAAATCTAATATTTTTGTCCGCTTTGGGATGCCGCGAGCAATTGTAAGTGATAGGGGTACCCATTTCTGCAACAAGACAATTGCGGCACTTTTCAGGAGGTACGGTGTCTTGCACAAAGTCTCTACTTCTTACCATCCTCAGACAAACGGTCAGGCAGAGGCATCAAATCGGGAGATCAAGTCGATTTTGGAGAAGATGGTTCGACCCGATAGGAAGGATTGGAGTATGAGACTTGAAGATGTCTTATGGGCGTATAGAACGGCGTACAAGACGCCAATCGACATGTCCCCTTATCGTTTGGTATTTGGGAAGCCATGTCACCTCCCTGTCGAGTTCGAGCATAGAGCATTTTGGGCGGTTAAACAATGCAATATGGACATCGAAGAGGGCGGAATCCAAAGGAAGATGCAATTACAGGAATTGGAAGAAATTCGCAATGAAGCCTATGAGAATGCTGTGATTTATAAGGAGAAGAATAAGATATTTCATGACCAGCAGGTGTCTAGGAAAACGTTTGAATGTGGGCAAAAAATTCTACTGTACCACTCGAAGTTGAAGTTATTTCCAGGTAAGTTACGTTCTCATTGGATCGGTCCCTTTGTTGTAACTAATGTCTTTGATTATGGTGCAGTGGAGATCCAGAGTCTAAGGACGGAGAAGAAATTTGTGGTAAATGGTCATCGTCTCAAGTCGTATTATGATGGGGATCCAATTGAACGGGTAGAGACGATGCATTTAGAGGACCCGATTTGCTTGGTTTAAACGAATTACGGGCTATATCTAGCCAAAGACACTAAAGAAAGGCGCTTGTTTGGGAGGCAACCCAAATATTAGTTTTATTATTATTTTTAGTTGTTCATTGCTTTCGTTTTGTCGTTTCCTCGTTGGGTGGTGGAAATATTAATACTTTTCTGCATTGTGACTAGGAAGTGCAATCCTGAGACCAGAGGACGAAGACCAATCTTGGCGTGCCCGCGCGGTGTTTGACGACCCAAAACATGAATTCAAAAAAAAAAAAAAAAACAATTTCAGATTTCAGATTTACGTTAAGATAGTTTTTGAAAAAAAAAAAATTCCATTTTTTTTCCTTTCTTTTTCTTCTTTTCTTCTTCTTTCTTTTCTTTCTTCCTTCTTCCCCGCTGCTTTCTTTTTCCCCTTTTCGTTTCTTCTTCAAACCGCCGCCGCCTGCTCAAACTCCACAACCTCCATCATTGCACGCCGCCATCGAGCACCACAGCGCGTCGCACGCCGCCCGAGCCCAACGCTGCCGCGCCCTCGCGCGCAGCCTCCCCTGCGCAACCTACAGCCAACTCCTCCAGCTCAGTCCGCAGCCGACAGAGCGCCGCCATCGAGCACTGCAGCGCGCCGCCCTAGCCCAACGCTGCCGCGCCCTCGCGCGCAGCCTCCCCTGGCGGCCACCATCAGCTCTTCCCTCTCTCCCCTCACTCTGCCACAGCTGCCGCCACCTCCAAGCTCGCCGCGCCTCACCTCCAGCTCGCTTCCACCCCAGCACCAGCTCCAACCCTCTCGCGGCCGTCCATCCCAGCACGTTACCACCTGTCAATTTTTGGCAGGTGGAGGTATTGCAATTCCTGCCTCAATTAGTCTTATTCTGAACCCTAAATTGCGAAATTTTGTACCTTTGCTGGGGCTTCTTGTTGGAATACACCAGGCAGTGATTTTGGCCATTTTCTGGAGTTAATTTTGGGTAGAGTTGAGTTAAACTGCTGCGATATTTGGGGGTACTTTGGGAGTAAGTTGCCAATTACTTCTGGCTTTACTTTTGGCTCATTTTTGGCGCTGCTTGGGTGTTCGAATCTGCTTGGGTGTTCGAATCTGTTAAAGTTTTGATTAAAACTAAGTGATTTTGTTTCGCTCGAGCTGCTGTGTGCTGTTGACTGGCCAGCGAGGGTTGATAAGGTGAACGGGAAAAGTAAGTGGAGTTTACGGACCATGAGTACTTTTGTTGACGGAGTGTCAACAGGCGTTCAAGCTCGGGGAATTGAACTGGTTTTGGAGCCACCTGTATCCTACCATTGTGATGTTACCTTTCTGTTATTGATGTGAAATATCCTGATTTACCTGTTTATTTGGATATGAGTATACATTTTTACCCCTGATTATTCACTAAGTATATAACTTACCCCGTTCTATTTGTTTTCCTTAGCAGGGGCCGAAAAAGTTCGGGAAGGTGTATAGACTTTTGATTATAGAATAGTTGAATTTGTACTTGTTATAAGTTGACTAGTGAAATGTATATATTTGTTGTGGTGGTTATAATTAGTAACTTCTCTAGGGTTTACTTCTTGGTACTAGTGGTGTGCATGACTTAATGTAATAGTCTATACAACTTTTGAAAATGTAATAGTTTAAATAGAACTTTCTTTTAGCGTGAACTCTATTTTCTCGTTTTAGAGTATCGAGTCCTGGCGCGAGTTAGTCAGGCGATCCGCTAAATCCTTTGGTACGCCTCTGGGTACGGTGGGGACGTCACACTTTGCATTGCAAAATGCATCCAATTACTGATACAACTATTTTGGAGGAGTATCATAAGCCACTGCATGGTCAAGTACACTTGACAAGACATTACATTAGACGAGGAAAGCCATCTCTAGCCTTTACTTGCAATTGTATAGCTTTTGACATCAATATAATCAAATATCATTTTGATGCCCCTTGGGGTTGGCTCGGATGATTTCGGGGTAGTCTACTTAGGTCCCAAGATCATGTGTTCGAGTCACCTCTCTACTGCTTGTGTATACTTGGAGGGCGGGGTGTACAGGTACAAGGAGATTAGTCTGGCAAAGATGGAATACTTA